CCCGCAGCCCTTCCCCCTCCAGCCTGCCCAGCCCAATTGGCCTGATCGGGGTGAGCTGGCCGGACCCCACCCGTGCACGAATTCATTCACCGGGCCTCTAGTAGTAATATAACTAAGTGAACAAGAAAAAAATTAGGTTCCTACTACCTTGAAGATAAAAACCAATATCCTATACATGACCTACAAAGTTCTTTACAGCCTGTCTTCAAATAACTTTACCATTTCCCTATTTATACATTCCAAACTCTCAATCCACGCTTCGTGTATGCCTCCGAGTCTTTTCCTTCTGCCTGGAATGCTCTTTCTCCACCTTCTTCACCCTGCAAACTCCTACCTAATCTCTGAAACCCAGCTCAAAATTCACCTCCTATGTGAAGCTTTTCCAGTGGCTCCTTCCCCTGGGATACTCAGCATCTTACCACTTCCACCTCAGTTCTCCTATGGAATATGTATCCATACCTCTATGTTAGTATTATCATTAATGTGTCTGTGTGCTTGGGGGAAGGATCCATCTCTTATTTTTTCCTTATTGTTTTTTAAAATAGAAGTTCAAGAAATGTTTCAATAAATGATGAAATGATGAATGAAATTGAAAGGGCGAGGGCTATGCCCTCCATCTTGCCCCGTACCCTCCATGTTGGGGCAGCCGCCATGTGCTCAGGAGAGTACCTTCTTCCCGGAAGCCCAAGCCCCTGCTGGCCACGCCCGGAATTTCTTTAAACTAACCAATGACAATCAAGGGACGTGCGCGCCATAGAGATGACCACATCCTGTGTAAGAAGACCCGACTGGCGCCTGGCCAATTGGCAGGGCCCACAGTCAGCTCCCCTCCCCTCACTCCACCCCTATTAAAACCCTGTTTCTCTCACGGTGGTGGGACTCTGCTTCCGGTCGCTGCATCGGCCGGGAGGGGGAGCTGAGCTAGCTCAATAAAGGACCCTCTGCTTTTGCATCGGACTGGCTGGCTCCCTGGTGTGGTTTTCTTGGGGATCTTGAAATCTGGGCACAACAAAATAAGTATATTGATTTGGGGAAAGTTATCCTGATCTTGCTGAATATGCATCAAGAAAACGGACTTATCTTTCCAAACTTGGACCACAACTGAAAGCTGGCAGGATCATTCATGAGAATGAGAAGACGTAAGTAAGATGTTATAGTGAATCATTTACCAGCTTGGAACCCTAGACCAGGGCAAGAGGGGACATAGGTCACCTTTCCTGACTGTTGAAGCCAATGAGAGTTATAAAACCACCTCCCCTCAGATCCATCACACTTCCATACCTGTTTTTCCTGTTCTTGGAAACTTGCCTGCTTCTTTCTACCCTGCTCTCTGTAGCAAGTGATTTTTAGGTGTGTTTTTTTGTTTTAGTTTCAGTTTTTCTTTAGCCAACACTGGCTGGTGTTGCTCAGTTGGTTGGGTGTCATCCCATACACCAAAAGGTTGCCGGTTTGATTCCTGGTCAGGGCACATGCCTGGATTTCAGGCTCAATCCCTAGTAGGGGGCATGCAGGAAGCAGCCAATCGATTGATGTTTCTCTCTCTCCCTCTCCCTTCCTGTCTCTCTAAAAATAGTCAATAAAAAATCGTTTTTTTAAAAAGCCAGTATATAATAATTGATTAAAGATGAGGAAAATTGTAATATTCTTGAGTTGTGATCATTTATCAGAGTCATATATTGAGAACATTGACCATTATTCACTCTTTTTCAAATGATTTTTATTGATTGATTTTAGAGAGAGAGAGAGAGAGAAAGAGAAAGTGGGAAAGAGAGAAACATTGACTTGTTGTTCCACTTATTTATGCATTCATTGATTGCTTCTTGTATGTGCCCAGAGATCAAACCTGCAACCTTGGCGTAGCAGGACAACACTCTAGCCAGCTAAACACCCAGCCAGGGCCTGCATTATTCGCTCTTGACTATTTGATGAGAAATGAGGAAATGGTTTTCTTCAGGATACCTTTGACTAAATGTTAATGTTCAAATGGTTATGAGCTGGCCCATCTTTTGGAATTTTTTAAAAAACTTTTCTTTGGAAATAAATATTGGCTCACAGGAAGTTGCAAAAATAGTTCAGAGATGTCCCATGTATCCTAACACAGTTTTCCCCAGTTTTAACATCTTACATAACTAGAATGGACTATCAAAACCAAAAAATTGACATTGGTACAATCCACAGAATCTATTTAGATTTTACCAGTTTTACATGCACTTGTATTTGTGGTGTGTGTGTGTGTGTGTGTGTGTGTGATCTCATCACACGTGTAGATTCCTGTAACCACCACTACAATCAAGAGATTCTCAAACATTCCTTGTGCTCCCTCTTTATAGTCAAACCCATTCTCAGGTCTTCCCTACATCTCCCCTCTCCCATCCTTTGAAATGTTTTTAAATATATATATTTGATATTTCTCACTACCCTGAAAAAGAGAGGATGGGTTTACCACTGATTCTTGTGCTGTTTTGAATGCTGCAAGTAGAAAGGGCCATAAGACTAGGACTTAGGGCAGTGATGGCGAACCTATGACACGTGTGTCAGAGGTGACACGCGAACTCATTTTTTTGGTTGATTTTTCTTTGTTAAATGGCATTTAAATATATAAAATAAATATCAAATATATAAATCTTTGTTTTACTATGGTTGCAAATATCAAAAAATTTCTATATGTGACATGGAACCAGAGTTAAGTTAGGGTTTTTCAAAATGCTGACACGCTGAGCTCAAAAGGTTCACCATCACTGACTTAGGGGAACCCTCTGTGCCCACTGGTGGGATAATCATTAATAGTAACACAAAAATGTTAAAAGTAACACAAAGCCTCTCCACGGAAATGATTTTTGTTCCTATACTTGGCTAGTTTCCAGGAAAATATACATTGGCTCTGTGTAGATAAACACTTGGCATGGTACTAAAACTGATAGGCACTCAACAAATATTTATCAGGCAAGTACACTGATCCAACAGGGAGCCATGTGTTCCACAACCGGTTCCTAGGAGAAGGTGAAACAATGCTCCATTTGTTCCCGAGGGCAGTTGTTTTCAAATTAGTAGAGCTTTTTGGAAATGGAAAGGTAAAATAGCTAGCAGGTCGCCTATTAGGTTTTCCTATTTCCTTATCCCTAATTTACTTCTCCAAGCAGCAGACAAAACACAAAAATAGACTAAACTGCTGACTAAAGCTATTAGCCCGAAACATCACTGCTGTAAACTGCTCTCCGTTCCTAAAACCCCAGCGATTCTCCACCAGATCCTTCTGCTCAGCATTGCGCAGCCCACCTTTTAAGGGGTAGGAGTTGCAGGGAGGAAAGGTGCGGATTGTGTGACCAGTTAGGTAATAACAATAGTTACCAAGTAGTGAGTGCACTTACCTTGGTAGTGGGCAAAGTGCTAAGAACTTTCATTTAATCCATATAATAACCCTGTGAGGTGTGTGATTTTATTATCTCCACTAGAGACCCGGTGCATGAAATTCATGCACGGAGAGGGGGGGTCCCCTCAGCCCAGCCTGCACCCTCTCCAATCCAGGACCCCTCAGGGGATGTCTGACTGCCAGTTTAGGCCCGATCCCCTAAACCGGCAGTCGGACATCCCTCTCACAATCCTGGACCACTGGCTCCGAATTGCTCACCTGCCTGCCTGCCTGGTTGCCCCTAACTGCCCCCGCTGCCAGCCTGATCGCCCCTCACTGCCTCTGCGTACCGGCCTGATAACCCCTAACTACCCCCCCATCAGCCTGGTGGCCCCTAAGTGCCCCCGCCCGCTGGCCTGGTCGCCCCACGCGGGCTGCTTTTTCAGTCGTTTGGTTGTAGGCAGCCATCTTTGTGAGGGCATGAGGGTCAATTTGCATATTACCTCTTTATTATATAGGATTTTACAGTTGAGAAAACTAAGACTTAGAGAACTTAAATAGTTCCCTTAAGGCCACACACTTAGTGACTGGAAGTGGTGGGATTTGCAACCAGGTCATTTGACCAGAGCCAGAAATCTTGGCATCCATTAGGTCTGAGGTGTGACACAGATATATATATATAATATTTTTTAACGGCCCCCCCTCCCCCCATAATTCTAATGTACTGATTCCTTGGGAAGCATTGCTAGAAACTACTTCCTGTAAGGAATCCCCTGCAAATTAAGGTGCTGAGAACTGATAAACTTAGATCAGAGATGCTCGTACTTCATAAACACATACTTCAGATAGACAAAGCTAAGTGACTAGTGGTTTTTGCCTAATGCTTTGGATGAAAATATATTCTTAAATTGCTTGTGTCTTTATTTTTATGCTCATCATACCACCAAAAGTCTAAGCATTACAAGCACTCTCCCAGAAAGAGAATTAAATTACCTTGTAGCTATAAAGCACACGTTTAGTTACTTCCAAGACTGAGGTGGATGGATTCTGGCATAGTTCTCTAAAGTCTTTGCATTTGTTTTTCTTTAAAAGAAGGCAGAACAGAAGGAGGAGGAGGAGGCAGAGGAGGAAGAGAAGAGGGAGGATGGGAAATCTGGATAGAAGAAATAAAAATAAAGATATATAATACCATAAAAAAGTTTCTTTTATTCTGAAGCATATTTTGGCACATGTAGGTATACAATTGGACTTAATGAAATGTTCTTAATAAAATCTAAAGACTGTCCTATGAGAAATGAGTGTGTGAATTAACATAACAAGTAGTTTTGTATACACAGGCCAACCGAACACTAACTGGATGTGTTTCATTCACAAGAACACGAGAGGAAAATATTTCAAATCACTCTTGATTTCAACACACCAAGCCAAACAACTAATAAACCGCCCACAAAGAATGAAACTATTTTGAACTCGTCATTCTGCAAATATGTATTAAAATATTAAGATATGCATAAAATTGTGTAAGATGGAAACATATCCGACCTTTTTTGAAAAGAGGAGGAGTCAAGTATCTTGAAAGGGGTGGGGCCTGCCTGCAGTCCCTGGGAACTTCCTGCTGTCACCACACCTCTGGATTAGTTATCTGAGCTCTGAGCAAAGCCCTCAGTTGAAACTCTAAGGCTCTGGGAAGGAAATCATTCTTGTGACTGTGACGCACTCTCTCCAGTCCCCATATGCTGAGATTATGCTTCTTCATCAGCTTGATGTGCTTGGTGAGATCAGGTAGGTCATTTATTGAATCATTTTCTTAATTATTTAAAAAATATTGCTAGTGTTAATGTCATTTTGCCTTTTATCATCCCACTTTCTTACTGGACTTTTTAAGTTTCATCCAATCATGTTTAAGAAAGAAGATAAGGATTAAATAAATTTTCTAATTTTGAAAATAAATTATACATAGTTTTCTCAGTAATAAAAGAAACTCTTATTCCTTTGGGTTGACTTGTTCTATGGTCCAAAAATTAAATATGTGGAAAAATCTAGAATAATGTTCTTTTCTTCATAGTTACATTTTTTCTGTGCCATTCCTACCTCTATGAAATAAGATTATTTCTTTTCTGGAAATTTAAAATTTTATTATATTAGAAGAGCTAAAATATAAAGGGTAGATTTTATAGCTTTTATGCATTAAGGGTTTATTTTAAATTGTTCTTACAGAAAAACATAATTTTATATATGTAAACCCCTTAAAATGGTGCTTGGCATATTGATAGCTTAAAAATTATTAATCATAATTAAGAAATAAAAATTAAAACAGTAACAAAAATGAAGTGAAAAGCTTTCAACACCTCTCAGTCTTTTTAGGAATCCAGCTCTTTTTCACATAGGTTATGGTAATGTGGTACAATTTTTTTTGAAGGAAAATATGTTATATATATGGACCCATAAAATGTTCATGCCATTCGAAGTAGCAAAACCATTGCTGGTAATTTATTCTAGAGAAATAACTTTTAAAAGAAAAAGAACTTATATAGAAGATGATTCTGTTATTTACTAAAACTTGAAACTAGATACAGCAGAAGTGTAGCTATATACAGGAATGGATCAAGTACATATACTTTTTTTAAAAAAGTAGCCTTTAAAATAATTCTGAAATTTAGGTGTGTATTTATTCTTTCAAATTAGTGTTTCAGGTTTCTTCAGATGTATTACTAGAAGTGAAATCACTGGGTCAAAAAATAAATTTTTCTTACTTTGTGCTTTTTAAAAAAATTTAATTCTGAAACTGATTTTAGAGAGAGGAAGGGAGAGAGAAAGCATCGATTTGTTGTTCCACTCTCATGCCTTTGTTGGTTGATTCCTGTATGTGCCCTGACCGGGATCGAATCCGCAACCATGGCATACTGGGAACTTGCTCTAACCAACCGAGCAACAGGCCAGGGCTTACTTTGTGCTTTTGATTTAATAGTAAGTTAAGATTTTACTAGTGATGATATTTTCACTGAAAAGTCAACATTTTAAAGTGTGTTTATCATTTATTTATTTTAAAAATGAACATCAGCTTAGGGGTAGCTTAAGGAGAGAGGGAGCTAACCATAACACGAAAACCTGATGGTGATTTGTGGTTACTTCTTCCGGTGAGTTCAGCGTCTTCCTGTGCCACTGCCATCTTGGACCTCCAGATTGAGGCACGTTTATATCTATACTCGGGAAGGAGGACCCTGGAGGAAGCAAGGGTAGGCTCAACCTTGAGGAGGTCTCACCCAGTGAGGTCCAAGGGAGGAAGGATATATCTCTATTTACAAAGCAGGAACTTAATTTTTTTGTGACCTGCCTTTTTACTTACTGTTACCTCATTAGTAAAGTCTTGTTTTAAATTGATTCTAGAAGACTCACTGCTGCATGATAGACTCTAAGCAGACAGAGACACACCACAATAGACTTCTGTAGCTAGAAGGAAAAAAAACCCACTATAATTATGGCTGTAAGCTAGATCTAGACTTCTCAGTATCTGCAAAACCATGAACTTGGAACTTTCATGGGGGAGGGTTTTGAATAACATGCATCTGAAAGCAGAAATTATTAATCACTCTCTGCTTTTGCCTTGTTTTCCTTGCTGTCCAAAAATTAGCAAGTGTTAGGATGTGATTCAGAAATCCCAAGGATACAAGTCACTCATTTTCGGAGATTTTTGTTTTGTTGTAACCTCTGTGATATCATGATGAAAATGTTTGCCGTAATCTTACCGGTGTACAAGGCAAACTCTAGTGCATACCAGAATCACCTGGGAAATTTGTTAAAAATGTGGAGACTCTGCCCTAGCCAGTTTGGTTCAGTGGATAGAGTTTCGACCTGCAGACCAGAGGGTCCCAGGTTCGATTGGTTGCAGGCTCCTCCCCAGCCCGGGCCCTGGTCAGGGCTCGTGCAGGAGGCAACCAACCACTGTGTTTCTCTTACATTGATATTTTTCTCTGTCTTTCCCTCTCTTTTCCACTCTCTCTAAAAATCAATGGAAAAATATCCTTGGGTAAGGATTAAAACAACAACAACAACAACAACAACAACAACACACACACACACACACACACACACACACACACACACACGCACAAAACGTGAAAACTCTGTCCCCAGAGATCCAGACTCAGGGGTCTGGTGTGAGATCCTGGAATATGCATTTTTAATAAACCCTCAAGGAACACAGACTGATAAGTATTGTTTTAAATTAAGGCTGTTGTCATAAGTATTTTTAAAAGTTATTCTATTATCAATATTTTGGCCTATGGTAAGTTGTGTAAAACTAGGTAGATATTTTCCTAGAGAAAATAGCTTACTGCCAAACACAGAGATTTTCCTAGGATGTTGGAAGGCCTCTCCAAATGATTTATAATTGTGTGTGTGTGACTCATCCTCTTCTAACTCAAAGGCAAAGGTGAGTGAGGAAGTGGGGTGTGAATGCACATACCTTGCTCATGATTAAGAGATGAGAGCGAAGAAACCTGGCATCTGATTTGTTTTCTAAGCTGTATCCTAAAGAAATAAAAGCCTGGGGTTAAAAGCAGAGATCTCTTTCAGCCAAGAGGGCATTTTGCCCATATGCTTCTTGCTTGTCTCTTCCTTGGGTGGAAGAGGACAGAAGGAGAAGCAAAAGATATTCTCAGCTTGACTATCTGGCTCGGGGACAGGGTTTTAACCCATTGTATGCCATAAGCGTCTGTAGACGCAAGCAGCGGGCCTAAGTGGCAGCCCTGACCAACTTTAAAATCATTTTTCGTGAGAACTTTCAGCTGAAAATATTCAAGAATGCCCGAATTATGAGTGATGTATTTATTTTTATAATATTCATTGCAAATTGATTTTTTAAATTAAATTCAAAATATCGTGGCGTGTGGGGATGTTTTCCGTTTTGGACGCGTGGCAGTTAACTGGTTAATGCCAAATTCAGGTGGCCCTCTGCATAAAATATACACTGAATTGCTTTTTCATATTTAAAAAATTAAGTCAAATTTCATGGCAGAGACATGTCACCTCCCCCTTCTAATTTCTCTTAAAAAAAAGAGTTCAACTCATTTTTTAATGTTTCCAAGGCAAGCTTTCTTGCCTAAAGAGATTTTTATTTCTGGGACTTTTGGAAATTCCTTCAGAAAAGTGTGTTCAGGCAAGCATAAGAGTGTGGTCAGTGTGGGTTCCTGGAAACATCCCGGCTCCATCAAGTAACATGTGGTGAGATGTGTCCCAGATCCTGACTAGCATTCACTGCCCGGCATGCAGAATACTAGGCAAAGCATCTTTTAACCTTGGTGTGAATCTCAGTAAATAATTTCTGGCAGCATTGAGCCGGTATACCTGACCTTGGTCTCTGTTCTAAAGAAGTTATTAACACACATCTGCGTCATGTTTGGGGTGGGGGAAATGATAGCTAGCTTGAGCACGCCTTGGAACCCAAAATTTGAAATAAAAGAAGTGTGAGTCAGGGCCATGCCTGCTTTACTTCCTATCTGGATACCAGGCATCAAGGTTAAATTAGGTGGAATTTCACAGCTGTCATCTGGGTTTAGGAGTTACTGGAGTAAATGTGACCAGCAGTAGATCTGAGAGAAATTGATACTTTCAGTTTTAATAGCCTGACTCAGCCATATTGAGCAGTATAATATGAACCTACCTTTGCTTATTGACTCTCACAGAACATCAGAACTTCCTTCTCCCGCACACTCACAGTTACTGCTTCATTGTGGGTTATTTCTGTCCACGACTCAGTCATCTTTTTGGATATGAAGGAGGTGTTTCCTCTTTCTGTAGAAGTTTTCCCCCCAATGAGAAATGTGGGGGATGTTATCAGTTTCTGCAAAAGCAGGTGGGAACTAAACAGCCAGAACTGAGTGTGACACGGAGGCAGCATGGGCAGCGTTGCTTAGTCGTGGGGCAGTGTGTCTTATGAAGGCATAGCAAAGGACCCTTTGAAAGGTTCATCCAGGATTGTCAATGCTCAGTGTTACCCCAGGGACTATCCAACGGAGACTCGTGAAATAAGTCAGTCTAGGGATACAGATGTCTCTTTTCTGGGCTGTCTTCCAGAGAAATACAGCTGGTGGTTGAAAGCAGCAATGTCCTCCCAATCAGGAGGGCATTTTGTCTATCCAACCCAATTTTCTCTGGCAAAGAGAGACAAAGTAACGGTTATAGTTAGTTCCTAAGCCTGAGAATAAGAGTAGTAGTTTATTTTGCACATTATTAGGTTCAAACCCTCCCCCTGCCAACACAGTGACCATGGTGGGGGGCTTTATTTAACCTTCAGTGATACAGATGAAGGTCCATCAACCTCACCCTCTGAGAGGAAAGAAAACTGGAAAACTGAAAGCCTGTTTTGATTTGGACAGAAAAAGTGAAACTTCTGCCCAGTCACCTTTAAAAGACTTTTCATCGTTTCACCCTTGACTTTCCACAAAAGTATGAAATTATAGAAACCATTTTTTTTGGTTTGGGTTTTATTGAGATATAATTCACATGCCATGCAATTCACCCATTTAAAGTGTTTAATTTGCTCTGGTCAGTGTGGCTTAGTTGGTTAGGCATCATCCCGTGCACTAAAGGTTTGCTGGTTAGATTCCTAGTTAGGGCACATGCCCAGGTTTCAGGCTTGACCCCCAGTGGGGGGCATGCAGGAGGCAGTCGATCAATTAATGATTGACCGATATGTCTCTCCCTTCCTTTCTCTCTCAAAATCTATATTAAAATCTTAAAAAAAGGTAAAGTGTACAATTCACTGTTTGTTTGTTTTTTGG